CGTTTGAAAAAAAAATCAATCTGACCGAGAAAATCAGAGTTAAAGTTTATGCAAATGAACAAAAAAAAAGTATGTAATATACAACTCTCTTCATGGGCTATGATTTCTATTGTGAAAAAAAAAATGAATATTAATGAGTTTTATAATATAAGTTAAAAGACTGCGTTTAAAAAAAAATTTATGACAAAGAGATGGGTTTTTTTCTATATTATGTGTATTATAAAAAAAAAAAACAGGTTATGATGTCTTTGTATCCTCCTGCTGCWGCWGCATGAAAAAAAAAAATGCCTTTCTCTGTATCAACCTGGTCATTGGGCCGACAGCCTTCAAAAAAAAAAAAACGAATGCAAATATCAATTGATTTGATTAACTATTGATCAATGAAAAAAAAAAAATTGAATAAATGAATGGATTAAAATGAATGACTGAATGAATAATAAAAAAAAAAATGAATGAAAGAAAAATTATATTATAGTACTTCAATGGATTATTAAAAAAAAACAATCAATCAAACAATCAATCAATCAATCAATCAACTAATCAATCAAAAAAAAAACTAATCAATCAATCAATCAAATAATCAATCAATCAATCAACTAAAAAAAAAAACAATCAACCAACCAACCAACCAACAACTAATCAATCAATCAATCAAAAAAAAAACCAACCAACAACTAATCAATCAATCAATCAATCAATCAACCAACCAAAAAAAAAATCAATCAATCAATCAGACAAACAACTAATCAATCAATCAATCAAAAAAAAAAACAATCAATCAATCAATCAATCAATACGCGTGCCAGTGAGAGCAAAAAAAAAAAAAGAATTAGTAAACAACTCTGGGCCATCCTCTTACCAATCAAAGCCAAAAAAAAACTGACATTTCTGCATTTAACTGCCTGGTAAAGATTTCTTGCTGTGAAAAAAAAATTTTTGTATGGCCTTATGGGAATATAAAATAATATCAAACCATGTAAAAAAAAACAGAATATCAAACAACAATTAAATTAAACCACACCTTTCTCTCTTAAAAAAAAACAACATTTTTAGTATACGATCAGGATCAGACAAACCCTCATAATATTCACTATCTGAAATCAAACATATACCCTTAACACCACTGAAAGCAAGAGAAAAAAAAAAAAACTATTCAAAACATTCTTTAGGTACACTATTTCATTATTAATTTACAAAAAAAAACTTAATAATTACTTTTATCAGGAGTAAACTTAACCAACAACAAGCAAAAAAAAAAAAAAATGAAGAGGCCCCAGTATGGTTCCCTGAGGTACACCCTGTTTTACCTTCTGATTTTGATGACGTAGTAGAAGCTGTATCTGAAGAAGTTGAAGAAAAAAAAAATAGTGACACTGCAGATGCAGCACTTGAAGTTTCTGCTCGTTCTATAAAAAAAAATCTGTCTCCTGAGGCAAATATTGCAGCCATGTGCTCTATTCGGCCAAAAAAAAAAGGTGTGGATGTTGTGAGATTGAGGTTCCTTACTGCATTAGGCCTAAAAAAAAATAAACATTGTTGCTATAGTGCAAATTTATGTACAAAAAAGTGAAAAAAAAAAAATTTAATATAATTTGTAACACAAAATATGAATGAAAATTGCCTTACAAAAAAAAATTTGATTTGAAGTCAGCACTGAGTCTCGCCCCTTAAGATAGAAAAAAAAAAAAAACATTCAGTTATCTGGAATTTTGAAAGTCATACTTGAGGACGTTTAAAAAAAAATGACGTCGAGCTATGAAATTATATGTATGTGCAAAATTGTCCAGTAAAAAAAAAAGAAGTAACTTACTATGCCTGGGTGATGTTGGTGTTGTGGGTGGGAAAAAAAAAGTTGTTTGTGCCTCTGTTYTTCTCGGGGTCACAGAACTTCTTTCTAAAAAAAAAACAACGATGTTATTATCTTTGTCAGGAGACGAGACTGAAACACCAAAAAAAAAATCTGAATTGTGTTCAACACTTGATACTCCATAGACTGGTGAATCAAAAAAAAAATTATCATCAGGAGCCTAACAAAAAAAACATATTTACATAGTGTACAAAAAAAAAGATCAAAAAGGTGCAATAGACCTTTCTCCGAAATGCCACGCCGCTAAAAAAAAAGGAAAGAGGGGGGATGATTGCAACAATAAAGATATAAATGTATTAAAAAAAAAAGAAAAAATATATGCAGGATCTAAAAAAACAAACTCACTTCATTGAAAAAAAAAAATACGGCAGCAGAGGAAACAGTTGGTGACTGAACTAAAATGAGAAAAAAAAAAAAATTCAAAATATAAAAACTGTCTTGAACAACATCATCATC